GGAAAAAAACGAGTCAAATAAACTGCACACTTCAAAATTTTCAATTCACAACAGAAGACAAAACTACACTGGGATCAACATAAGCAGAGAAAGTAGGCCTTGCTCCTGCCATACCGTTCCCTCTACGACTAATGACTTCTCTGCCCTCCTAAGAACTACTTTCGCATGTGTACGCATCTCATTTACAGGTATACGAGAGGTCTTTTTTTTTCTCAAAACTGCAACCCTACACAGTGACTCCATACTTCTCCTTCCTCTAATGCTCACAATCTTACTAAACATAGGAGGATCCAGCAAAGTGCTGATTGGCATTTGGCCATATGCTATACCCAAGATCAAGCGCAGACCAGAAATCTTCAGCCACGATGTAGTAAATATCTAAAGCATTCAACAATCACAGGTAGCAGAAGACATTCAGCCCCCTTTTTGCACGACCCAACAATTCTGAATTGTCAAGTATCGGTCTTATATGTTCTGCAAGCCTATGCTAATTTAAACTGCAAGAAACAACAGAAACAAGAAAGACAAATGCAAAAATAAAAGAGCACGATTAAAACCACTTAACACCATTACAATCCTACACGAACCATGTACTTATAACTAGACCCTGAAGAACAATCCCTGTCACTGTAAAGGTCCATAAATTTGAAAGTCAGCATATACACATACCAATCAATAGGTCACATTCTCATGGATATGCTCTGTTAGAGCAGGAAGTAATCATTCTAAACAACTACAATCTAGAGCATACAAGGACAAGCTATACTATTCCAACAGTTTAATTAAACTGACGATAAGCGTTTAGTTCTGCAAACTAAGCTGAATAGCAAACTTTATGTGCTTTACAAAAATCAAGCAGACTTGCTAGTCAAGTTTGTAAAATCAAACCTTCCAATGTTCAAGTGCAACACAAAAGTGCCCAGAATAGTTAACAGCTACACAAGTTCACAAAATCCAATAGAGTAGAGTATAGCACATCCAGAGATAAATGACCTAAAAATTTCCTGCTTTCAGATTCACCAATTGAGAGGTCAGGATGAAATTTGCGATCCTCGGTTAATCCGTCATCTATCATCAACCACCATGAGATGCATCCCCTGGTATCTTCAGGGTCTACATGAGCCACTAGACTAGCTATTTCACCATGGTCCAGTTCAAATGCCAATGATAAGAAGTCTCTAGTCACTTTAATGCCGACAGTGAGGGCTTCCCCATGAAGCCACTGAATAACTTGACTAGCGATCTACAGTAGAATTTATGACAACAGTAATTAAAGTAATGTCAATATAATATTAATTATAATAAGTTCAATTAGCTGAACAGAGAGGTTATGCATTTCACAAGCCCAATAAAAATGTTGATACATGTAGTTTGCCTGTCGAATTTTTATTTTAACTTTTTCCCTGGTGGATTGGACCATACAGAGCATCCATCTGCCCAAACTCCACAATGGCCAAAACAACAAGAACATACCATTCTGAACTACTACTTTTTTACTTTTAATTTCTTTTTTCTTTTCCTTTTCCTTTTCCATTTCCTTTTCTTTCTTAGAAATCCTTTAGCTCGACAAAGGACTAATCCACTTACCGTAACAAAAGTATGATAGCAGAAGCTCTGTTTCGAGATCATTCATATAAATCCTTATGTATCCAATATTAAGATATGTGAACTAATGTTACCAAAAAAAAAAAAGAAGATTGAAAAAGGTGATTACAAAGATAAATAAAACAAAATGGGATCAATTCACGTCACTTAGCGTTCCATGCATCTCCTACAAAGTGAACAAGAAGCATAAAGGATGACTAGTTAGTTGTGATATCAATAGATGTATTGCATATGCGATGATACACCTTCATATAGATCACTCTGGAAAAGTTTATGATTCAAAGATTACCTGCTGGAGGAGTATTATAGGAAGATCTGCCAAGTCACATTCATATGTGTTAATAGGACAAATGCTCTCAGGCTTTCCATTAAATAGGCCAACAACGTTGTGATTACCTTCCCCCTCCACACTAATAGATTCATCAATCACCACCACCTTAGTCCAAAACAGAGATCTTACATTCTTCACATTGCTAGTGCCAGATGACTGAATTTGGCTTCCAGCATGAAGAATTGACTGAGGAACCTTCATTGATAAAGTCCATGAAGACGTCCGCGAATGCCAAGTGGGATGAGATATCAACTGGACATATGGAGTTCTGCAAACCTTCAAGTGTGGTAATACATCGACGAAATATTATGTCCAGACAAAGATAAAACAGGCAATTATAAAATCTAAACAGTTCTTGTGAGGAAATCTTCTTTTGTGAATGAAATGAAAAGACTTCCTCAAACAAAAATCTTAATGCCTTCTGATACATACGATACATCAATAAGGAAATTAAGTGCATACCAGATTTTCAAGCTCTGACAGAACTTTGTTTGAGAAGATGCTGTGAGCTAGAGACATGCAGAAATGATCCAGAATATTTAAGCTGTCCTTTGATTGCTGACCAAATATCTGACTTCTAAAAGAAGATGTGGTCTTTTCTTTTGCTTTCACAAACACATATTCATGAAACAGTTGCTGCAAATAAATCTCGAAACTAATTCGATTTGGAAACCCCAATTTCTTCACATTATCTTTTCCTTCTCTAAATTTTGACCCAACCAATAATTCAGAAGGTACAGTTTCAGCTTTCGAACTGTTTGTGCCTGCTCCACTGACTATCTTATTATCTTGTCTAGATAGCAGAAGTGAAATCGAGACAGATGCTCCTTGATTAATGCTCAAGCGTAGATAGTTTTCTTGTATCCCAGTCAGATTTACACTTAGAGATGAATTACATGCTTCACGACTTACCAATTCAAACACCTATAACCATGAATCAAGCATATTGTCAAATTATTACACAGATGCAAGGACAGAAATCTCTTGCTCATGATAGATGGAAAGAATGGATGAAATGGAAGAATCTGTAGATGTATGGATATATACATACAAGGAAAGGGCGAGGAGGAAAAAACAATTGTACCTGCTCGTCAAAGATGGCTCGATGAACCTCACGGAGGAGTGAATGTGTTTTCCTCACGCATTCATCATCATCAGCATGTTCTTTGATAGTTTCTGTGGAAGAATCTTCAGACAAGGCATGCATGTTGGTCTCACCGGATCTTCTCATATTATTAGCAGAATGGGAACCAAGAAACTCAAATCGAAGAGAGCGGCATGAATTTGGGGGCATATTCACAGCCAGCATTCCAGCTGTGTCATGCTCAATAGGAATTGTAGACAAAGAAGATGGGCGAAGTGACACAGAATTATCATATAATGTATTGTAAAATAAATCAATGTAGAACCCCTCGTTACCAGAGGCAGCAGCCACCAATCGATGTCGTTTAACTTTCCAATTTTGCTGCAATCTGTTTGTTCATTTATAAACATACCAAATAAGATTAACATTGGGAGAATAAAAAAGTGATATACAGCAAGTATAATGCATCTTATGATCTGAGACTCAATAAATCTACAGCTTGCAGAGGTAGTGACACTCACCTAATGAGAGCACCATAAAATCTCGCCTCTCTAGCTACCTGCTTTTCTAATGCTGTCGCAGATTGCTTGAAATATTTTCCTAGATGCTGCGAATCAATACATGTAAGACCCCGTACATTAGTAACACATAGCATTTAAATGCAAAGTAATAGTAATCAACCACAAAATTATATATGATAGCTTGCCAGAAAATATATAGACTATATTTTAAATGAATAAGTAAATAACTAAAAGACTAGTCACTGCCTATCAATTGTGTAGAGTAATTATTAATTATTTACAGCTAAAGGGGCAAACTCAAAACAGCAAAAGGAGAAGATAGCAGAATACCCGGAAACACTGTAGCTTGGTCGCAGTAGATACAGCCAGGTCAGACAAAAGCTCGTTTGGTAACTGCTTTGGCCTGGTCATGCCCGCAACCGTTACTGCATCATTTGCCTCTACCTATAAGCAGTATTCATACCAGTAAATTATGAATGTACCTTCAATTTTTTTATCATTCTTCTGTGTAGCATATTTCCTTTCTAATGGGTGTTTGCATAGCCAACGAAAGTAAACCAGAATATTGAGCAAAAGAACATAATAAAACTTGCAAAAGCAACTAGACCGCTGATCAGATGATGTGCTTATGTCATAGTTCGTCAAGAATGCTGCAGTATAAGTCAATCGGAACCTGCCATTCCTAAAATATCACTCAGCATCACCCTAGTTGGAATGTCTGATATATTAAAAAATTCTGTTGAGTGTCTCAGTATTATGTATGGTATCATCGAACATACGTGGACATGGAGTAAAACGCCTTGACAAAAGGGACTCAAGCCATAAACTTGCGGTGCTTAATGAAGACCTCAAGTAAGCCATGCCTCAAGGTGTAAGCTTCAGGCACTTTCTAAGAAAATGCTCTCATCATTCTTTATTAAAGTCAGTTGTTAATTATTATATTCTAGAATCCTACTGAGTTTAGGAGTCCTCGAGTCTCCATAAAGCATTTTAGTGCTTTTAATTCATAACTAACAAGATTATAGAGTTTTACGGAGCTTCTGAAGCTTTCGGTTTTCATGAAGCAATTTCAGTAACTTAAATTATCAAAGCTCAAATATTCCTTTATAGAACCCAAATGCCGAATCATCCATGATCTTGAAATACTTGGAAGAGAATTCAAAGAAGAAATTTAAGAAAACAAACTTGAGACAATTCAGGTCCAGTTAATCTCTCTAAAAAGTTTGCATTTTAACTAAAAAGTAGACCTTTTGCGATCCTCTTGTTGAGCGCATCAAAAGGCTTACTAAAACATGCTTCAATGTAAAAACCAAAATAAAACGAGTTCTAAATCCAAGTCAAACACAAATTTTCTCTTTAATAAGATTTCTTCATAAATACCTCAAAAATAAGATAATAGAAGTAAAATACAAACTAATTCTAATTGAAAGCTAAAAAAATAAAAACGAGAAATTTCTAATGAAGTTCAAATGCAAATAAGTAAAATAACTTACCGTATTGATGAGATCGATGATGACAGAGAGCTCTTGGTGAGCCAACTGCAGATTTTCCACTAGGCTCTGCCATTGCCATGGATGCTGATTGGTGGTTGTACTCTCCTTAGCAGAGGTTTTACCTTCACTCTTCTGCTTCTTACTAGGATCCTCTCTCTCAACTGCCCACCCAAAGTCTATTCTCCTAATCAAATTCAGCCTCTTCTCATCATAATCCACATCGCTGCCATAAATACATACAAATACATTATGAAAACTATGAAGTACAAAGATATACAAATATAAATGTGTATATAATTATATATAAAATGAGAGTTCCTACGAAGGAAAGCGTTCGGTGCCGTTTTCTTCAATAGCATCCAGGCGTTTGATTGGGAGCTTGTCGATCGATATTTCAATATCTCCATCCATTGTTCTTATTAGAATTGCTGGGAGAATGTGAATTGGAGCCTCCTGCGGACAGTGCCAGTCCTGTGATTTTTGGGGCCCGAGGCGAACTTCAAAAATTGGCCCCCAGAATCAACGTAAATGCAAAATCTAACAGTGTATTATGTAACATATTGCTAACTTAAAACTAAGCATTAGAACAACAAACAAATATAAACAACAAAATATTTATATTATAAAGTAACAAAACCGACAAAAGTTCAAACAATTAGTTAAATACTATTCGCTTTACTGTTTTAGAGGCAAAAAATTAATCAAAAAATAATGATTTAACTGTTCAACCATATATCTCTTTATTGATAACATAGTCAAACCATTCAATATTTCTTGTGACATAAATGAGTCTATATTTAATGCCCAATAATTAGTATAAAAAATTACAAAACATCTCAATCATCTCACAATTAAAAATTTTCAATACGGTTACTACGTGCGCCTGTGCAATTGATTATACAGACTACAATGACCATTCATATAAGCCGGCAATTCTTCAAACATTTTCAATATATTCAATATCAAGTTAGAGCAAGCCATTATTTACTTGAGAAGTAGAAAATTCACGAAAATTGTGGAATCACGCCTATTCCAGCATCCAGCGTTGCATCTCAGTTCTCACAAACCTGAAATTGAATT